CATGGCCTCCAACCTAATAGCCATGGCCTTCAACCTAATAGCTATGGCCTTCAACCTACTAGCCATGGCGTCCAACCTAATAGCAACGTCCTTCAACCTAATAGCTATGGCCTTCAACTTACTAGCCATGGCCTCCAGCCTCCAACCTAATAGCTATGGCCTTCGACCTACTAGCGATGGCCTCCAACCTAATAGCCATGGCCTCCAACCTAATAGCGCTGGCCTCCAACCTAATACATCACTGCAGACGAGGGCCTCGCCTGGCGCTTCTTCAAAGCGTATGATCAGAAGTGTCACGAATTGGTGGCGGGCACTTTGTTGAAGAATTCCTTCCTGCCCAAGGGACATGCTGCGCCGCCACAAGCCCTGACAGGGCTGCTCTCTCTGATATCGAGAAGCTTGCGGCCATTGCGTTCATGGCCACCGAAGGCAAACAGACCGAGCGCGTCAGTGGAGAGGAAGTCTTCTTCGAAATATGCGGATGTGAGCGGGTGTCCTGGTGTCTATGTAGCGCCCTGGTGTCGTAGAGCCACACCACATGCTTTTGATTTTCTGTCGGTGCATTCTTGCAAATGAAAGGGCTCTGAAAACGTGGACTTTTGGATCGGAGACATTGCGGGCGCCTGTGAGAAGACCCTCCACATGAAGTGCGAGATGTCTTTCGTGAACTCAGAGGCGGAAGCGTGGTCGGACTTTGTGGGCGCATCGAAGCAGCGAGAAGCTTGCAGAAGGAGCTTGACGTTTTGTCCAACGCCATGCTGTCAAAGAAGCTGGAGCTTGAGTCCATGCAGATTACCGCAAAGCAGATCAAGGAAGAGCTGCAGGGATCAAAAAGGACGCAGAGCCTGGGCAGCCTGCCTCCCCATTGCCTTAAGTTGCGCCAAAGCATGTTGGCGTCATTTTTAATGCTGTGCCCACAAGAAAGAGCACGAGCCGATTTTTGATGATTTTTGTAGGTAGGCCAATCATCTGATCGGCGTGGTTCAAGAACAATGCTTGCTGTGGACTTCAGTCATGCTGATTGTACATCGTACATCTTCGCACTGTGACAGCCAAAAGCAATCAGATTATGGCAGCTTGTCCAACAGCGATTGACGTGTCTATTATTGTGTATCAGTCAACTCAACAACATATATTTCATAAATTCATATTCTATCTGTGTAACTGCAACTCCACTTTGCTTGCACTTAGAATATGGACCAAATAGTTTCTTGGATTTGGTTCATATTCTATCTGTGAGTCCAGTACTATAGATATATATCTTAGTCTATTCACTCACTCATAGCATATTCACAAAACACTATTGACAGTCTATTTCCTGTAAACAGGCAACAGGATATAAATAGGCCTTTTCCTTCCTGTTGTTTGTGGTTTGACCCCAAGAAGATTTTTTTGGCCACGAACTATTCAGAAATGTTTCGTGTCAATCCTGCCATGCTGAAATAAGAACTCAAAAGAGAGAAGACATGTTTCAGAAAAGATACAGCCTCAGACTCTGAGAACGGTCCACAGTAAAACTCTCATAAAGGACAACTCAGAAAGGAACACATCTCTCAGGAAAAAAATACTTCGAAAGAAGCGCATCCCTCACTAAACATCTCAAAAAACGAACTCAACGGAAATCACAACCCTCAGAACTACATCTCTCAGTAGCAAGTTCTCGGAAACCGGAAACCATGAGAAATCAGACTGCAAAGTGCTTAAACGACAAACTCCAAGTGCTACGACATAGCTTTGTTGCTCGATCTCCAACAAGAGCAGTTAACGCCAAGTGCTTCCCAGCCTTCGACCGGCCGAAGGTTGACCCACATGTAGATGACCGGATGACCAGATTGCACGCCCATCAATGCAAAGTGCAATGCCGCGCCCATGCCACGCCCATGCCTTGTGCTTCACAAAGTTTGCCGCTTGCTCCATGTCCGAAAGCGCATCACAGCCAATGATGGATGCACTGGATCCTCAAGCTCCTCCCAGCCTTCGGGAGAAGGCATCCTGCCGAACTTCCATGGCACATCCTGCCCGCACCATTGCTAGGGACAAAGACATCGACGAAAGAGCTGCACGCAGCGCCTGTGGCTAGTTTGCAGCCAAGAACAAATCCTCAAATTTGCACATCCATTTCCAGCTGCCTTCCATCTGCCATGGTGCAGTTCATGATTGCTTTCATCTCCCGAGCATGGACCTTGCAATGCTACTATCCATCGTGGCTGGAGCAACTTATAACACTTGGTGCTAACAAGTTCTCTCAAGCAAAAGCTTTCCAGACACAAGGGCATCGCTACTAGTAACAAGTGCATCGCTACTAGTAACGAGTGCATTACTACTAGTAGCAAGAAGCTACTAGTAACAGGTGCATCGCTAAGAGATCTCCGAAGCAACAGTCTCTCTCTCTCTCTCTCAAAAGTAGACCTTTCCTGACAGACGCTCTCTTTGTCAAACCCCTTACTGAAGCATTCTACACAACCTCTCACACGGATACAGTAAACCTATAGAAACTTGAACAGTCAAACATGTTCGTAAGTTTCAAAATTGACTATTAATATCGTAATCCCTAACCATCTTGACAGACTACAAAATAGACTATAGTGTGTTTATCGAGGTTTATTGTATGGTTGTACTTTTCGTCTATGAAAAGACTATCCGGAGCCTTCGGATATGTATATGGTACCCCTCCTCTGAGATTCGCCTACCCCCTGAGATCCACCTTTGATGCTCTTCCAAAGACTTGTACTTGCACACGATCAGACTTGGGATTTTCAAGTCTCAACAGCTGTCAGACTTGGGATGCTAGATTCCGATCCCTGGATTGAAGATTGAAGATGTGAAAAAGAATTGCTCTTGGCCAGAAAGCGTCAATCCATGGATCCAATTGGCTTGTGAAGTCTGGAACTGGGAAGAGTTATATCACACAATGAATGTGGGATCTCAAGTCTGAACGCTGAATCTCAAGTCTGAGCATGGGACCTGCATGCTGAGTTCCACCACCGTATTTTGCACCTAGACCTAAAACAGGGTCAGTGAGATTGACAACAGCAACTTTATAAAAGCTTTCATCCCAGAAGCTTCTCTCTGGATCTCTGGGAATGATCACTTCTATATTGAAAAGCTTTACTTTAAGCTTTCATTTTGGGGCTTCTCCTGGTGGACCAAAATTATGGACCCTAATTACATTCTAATTGAGTTCACAGTCGAGTTCTCGTTCAAATATAAGTGAACTCTTCGTAAATAATCATTGCGGTAAATGTCGATTTCAATTGGTGTCTAATTGAGTCCTGATTGGATTCTGCTTCAAAACCAAATTGTTCAAATTAAGCTCCAGCTAAATTTTAGTTGAAAACTAATTAAATACTAATCGTTTCCTAGGTAAATTGATATAATTGATTTGGTGTTCTGAATCAATGCTAATTGAGTGCGGGTTGTTAAATTCCAACTTAAGTCTGATTGAACTCTAAGTATTGCACTAGGGTCACCAGCGCAAAAGCTGTCATTCCAAAAGCTTCTCTGCATCTGTGGCAATGGCCACTTCTTTATAAGTGTTCATGTCAAAAGCAAAAAGCTTGATACAAAACCTTTCATTTCAGCAGCTTTTCTCTGGATCTCTGGAAGCGATCACTTCTATATTGAAAAGTTTGATACAAGAACTGGCATTTCAATAGTTTTTCTTCGGATCCCTGGATATAAGTCCAAAATTAGGTAAAGTATAGGCCCCAAAAGATTGAAAGTCATCTATTACATTACCCTATTTGTCCCTGTTTTCTCTCTGTTTGATTCCTCTGTTGGATCCATATCACAGCTGGCAACTTTTCCTCTACAGCATCTACACTTCATGCTTTCTAAAGCAGCCTCCTTGCATCCTATGCAAATCTGCTTCCATATGCAAATACCCTTGTGTCTGTTTATGTGTTTGTTCTGTCAAGTCTATTTGGGACCTCCGTTTGCAGGTTCTGGGTTGGAAGGAGGAGCGCGAGGAGCTCGAGGAGCTCCAGCCCACCAGGCAAAGCGCGAGGAGCCCGTGTATCATTGAGGAAGTAAGTGTTGGGTGATGGTTGCAGTTTTAGTTTTCAACCTTCACATTCGGATCATTGAGCCCGCCCACTTATTTTTTGGGGGTAAGTGAATTAAAACCAACCAGCATTGGCGTCATGGAGGGCGACCGGTGTTTCTACTCATTTTCTGGACTCTTGGTTACTCCCATCTATCTGATCCGAAAGCATTTCTCCAGCGGCCCTGGCCTCGCAAGGCCGATGCTCCGGATTCCTTGTTGCAGAGGCTGGCCCGGTACCAGCCCGAGCTGGCACCCCAACTCCTCAGGCGGAGCCCGGGAGTTTTCTGCGGCTTTGACCGGGGGGCGAACGGGAGAAACCGGTGGAGGTCGACGGCAAGTTCGCAGCTGTTGGGCCTCCGAGAGAGGCGGTGACACCCAAAAAGTTCTCAAGGGGAAGGGCGGCAAGTCAGTTTCAGTCAAGCGATAGCGTTTCGCAGATGCACGAGGTGCGTTGCTTGGTGCCGTTTTTTGCCAGTTCGCTGGCCCGAGCTTGGAGGGAGCCATTGGACTCGGAGACCACGGCACTTTCCCCAAGCCGCACGAAGTGTCCTACTCAGGAAAAGTGGATCGCCTGCCCAGTGTTGAAGGTTCGTTTCCCCACAAAAGATGGACAGTTTCGGTGAACCTCGCTCTAAGACTAGGGAGACTTTGCTAGGAACATAGACCAGTCTACCCAGCCAGGGCCAGGGGGGTCTCTCTATTAAATACGAACTAGTATAGAGCTCACAGTCCCAAATTGATAGAAACGATGTCCAATACATTCGGTTTCTTCTGTTCTATCTATGTGGGGGTCGCTATTACAGATATATATATATATGGTTCGGGAGTCAGGTGTCCGATTCTCTTCGGGGTCTGGATCCCCTGAACGCGTCTCGACGGTTTGCGTTCTCGACGCCATGCTGAACGCCTGGACGACTGGAGTTCCAAACTCTGCTCGGTTTGGCTTGGTCACAGTATTACAAGAGCCGGGGTGACCAAGGGGAGCTGCCCCAGACAGCACCATGCTTAAGCATCCCGGATGAAGAGTATCCCCCAATGCCCTTCAGCAAGCGAAGAGCAGGTGTCCTCTACTTGACACCTCCACGTCACCAATTCTGCATGTCCAAGCTGTCCTGGCCCTGGCATCATCCTCTCCAGGCGAATTGAACATGAGGGCTCTGACATTGTGGCACAATGTCTACGCTCTGAGCCCTGGCAGGTCATGGTACGACCTCCTTGTTTCAGGGGGGTCGGGGGCAGGGCTTCGAGAGACCAACACCGTCCAGGGGCATCCAACACCATTGGTCGTTTGAAGCGGGAGAAGCGACGAGGCTGCAAGCTAGGGCCAAAAGGAAAGACTAAGGGCTCATAAGGGCTCCATGTGGAGGTACGAAACATGTCGTTCTTGCTGCAAAAATACCTCGCAATGCTTTCAAGGTCACGTTGGAGACTCCAAAACCTTTGATCGGCCACTGGGTGTCTTTCCTGTCGCCCTTGGTTTTGCAAAGTGAATGGCGCCTCAGTTGGCAAATGATTTGCACATCCACCAACACATGGCCACTTGAAATATCGCCTGTCGCCAGAAGATGTGCTTTGCTCAGAAAGCCACCGCCGGCACGACACGATGTGCCATCGCCGTCGGTCGAAGATCACGACGGTTCGGTGGCACGGCGGTTCGAAGAGCTGCGGAGCTGCGGAGGTTTGGTGTTGGCTGGTTTTTGTGTTGCTCAGTTGCTCGCCTCTGGGGGTGTGCATTCCTGCTCCTGGTTGGCGGTGTCAAAGGGCAAGACCAGCAGCGTCTGCTTGGTTTCACCGGATGAGGCGTTGGGGAGTTGAATCGTCCGCCAAAGATCGTGGAACATTGGAACATTGGAATCCAAGGCACCTGGGAGTCGACTTCCACCGGAATCGAAACATGACTTTGTTCCCAGCTGGGATTGCCGATCGATGCTGATCGTAGTGCTTCTGCCAACCTCACGAGGATGGTCCTTATGTCTTTCTGGTGAAGTTTGTGGGGACCACAATGAAGTCAAAGAGTTCTCAGCAACTCTTCCTGTACAGGTGGAAGATGGTTGGGTAGACAACGTTCTGAAGGGTCAACTCCAGGCGTTGGCTTTGCCGCATCCCTTGACCTCCGGCATGATGACTCGCACTGTCGGAAGGGCCCAACACGAGAAAACGGGAGACGACGCACCGGCAGCGGAATTTTTCAGACACCCAGAATTGATGGAGAATGAAACCTTTTTGGTGACCCAACATGGACCGGTGAGCGAGAGAAGAACATACAGAAACACGGAGCCCTTGATGTGTATGAAGCCACGAGGGCTCCTAAGATCAGGTTCCTGGTTCCTGAATGAAGGTTCATTCCGACTCAGGATTCGGCCTTGCGACGGCACATGGAAAGAGCTTTGGAAGAGCTCTTTGCGGATGAGGCACTCGGGCTGCTGGGAGCAGTCCTGTCAGGGGATGGGCAACTTGTTGAGACAGCAAGCAGTGCAGTAGCGCAGTAGCTGCTCGTCAAGAAGATCAGGGTCGATGATGTCATGTAGACTCTTGAGGACCATAACCCCCCATATGAAGAGGATGTTCCATTTCAAACGGGGGTGCTTTAACTTATCAAGAGTCTACATGGCAAATTGCTTTTGACTAGGTGATTCACCTTCAGACCCCCTTGCAGTTGGGTGTAGAAAAAGACTGGAGCACGAGTGCTTGACACTCTGTCCTTGAAGACCTGGAGGATCTTCCTGGAATGGACCTGTTCTCTCAAGTCCTCCCAAGTCCGGCGACTGGGACCGAAAAAGGATCCTTTTTCGAAGTCCAGCGACTGGGTCTCTGGGCCGTGCGAACCTGCGCTGTTTGCTTCTCCGGTTTAACCGGGGCGTGGCTTGGTCCGACGGTTGGCTCCGTCGGCGGAAGGAACGGGTTCCGAGGAGCGGACCAAGTGCCACGCTAGTAGTAACAGGTGCCTTACTAGTAGTAACAAAGAAACTATTAGAAACAAGTGCCTTACTACTAGTAACAATAAGAGTTTAATTAGAATTCTAATTACTAGCTTCTTGTTACTAGTAAGGCACTTGTTACTACTAGCGAGGCACTTGTAATTACGGCGTCGGTGGAACCGCATCGGTCGAGGACCAAGCCCAAGCTGACTCTGCAGAACTCGGCCGGGGCAGCGGGAGCCATATGCTGCCAGGGCAAAGGAGAGAAGATGGAAAGAAGATGGAGGGTCAGAGTATCTCAGAGTTCTTGTTGTTGTTCTTTAGACCGTTTAGACCTTTCTTTTTTCCAGTTATTGGGTTGTTTTTGTTCCAATGGAGTCAGAAGGCTCCACGCCCGAGCTCTTCGGGCTCCGAGAGGAAGACGTTTCCGTTGAAAAAGAGAGTGAGAGAGAGAGAGAGAGCCTTCTTTACATTCATAATCGTTTCCTATTAGTAGGTAACTGTTTTTCAGAAAAAAATCGAAGATCATGACAATGGCATGGACCTGTCGTTTTGGATAGACTATGTCATGAAGCGTCCCTTTCTCGCCTGAAAGGCCAGCCTCTCGCCTGAAAGTAGGTGTGACCCGAAGAGGAAAACGTGTCCAACTGCAATGAAGCACATTGAATATGTGGTAAATCCGTGTCCCAGTGATTTTCCGTATCGCCGTCAGTTAAAGCCGATGATCATGTTTCTGTTGAGAAAGGCCTGCAACCGAAAAGAGTCATCATCCACTGCGGAACCTGGTAATGCGATATGTCCAACATGGAAGTGAAGAACCACCACCTCCTCTTTGGTACTGTCAAGGTCATCCTGCTTCTAGGCCATTTTCCATCCACGAAAAACATGCTTTCACAGCAAATCGGTGACATCAAGAACGACCCTTCTGGAAGCCACACAGGTGGCTTGTGGACAATGCGCCTAGCCGGTGGCAGCCGATGATTCTCAATCACCAGACGGCTACCCCGTGTGAAGTCCTCTACTAGCTTCTTGCTCCGTTCGTAGCGATGGCCTCCAACCTACTTGCGATGGCCTCCACCTAATAGCATCCTTGCTACTATAGTAGCGATGGCCCTTTCTTCCTAGTAGCGAACATTGCTCCGTTCATAGTGAGGCCAGGAGTTCGCTTCGCGTCCGACCGCTACTGCTCCACTCCGGTGAGGAAGACCTTGGCGATCTCCAGCCGCCCGAAGGCGACGCGGCGGTCTACAGCGATGGAAGAGAAGAGAGACGTAAACGGCGGGGCGGGCGGTCCTCCAAAGCTGTAGCTGGTGGCTGCAGAACTTGCTATACCATCATAAGGTGCTATAGGTTTTGATGACTCGCCTGCAACTGTTGTGGTTTAATGCAGACGTGATGTGCAGACCTTGGTGCTAGATCTTTGCATACCACTTAGAAAGACTACTTCCGGCTAGCCGGGTGTCCGCTTCCGAACCGGCTTCCGCACCGCCGCGGAGCTCCAGGTCGATCCGGCGATCCGCTCCATCCGATCTTCAGCGCCCTCAGTGCCTCGCTCCTTCCGGGGGTTCAGTGGAGGGGATCTCCGGGACGGTCAGTAGTTCATGTCATACTAGCGAATGGCCTCCAACCCACGGACAATCAGCAGTTCTTCCTCCTTTTCAAGAGGGAGCCCCCGGCTCGACTCACCAACGACCAAGCGGTCTTCAAACTGGCAGATTTCTGGTCCATGTCTTCTCCTTTACCCAGTCAGGCCAGTCTGGCTCAGTTCGAAACGACTTCACTTTATACAGTGGTTTCCGAGGTTCAACGGCACTCGCACCCCAAGATGTCATAGATGGGGGGTCTACTGTCCACAGCCACCGATCTACAATTTGGGGGGCGAGGTCCCATCGAACCTTTGAAACCACTGGAATGATACCTTCGTGATGCATCTTCCAAGAACCGACACCGTTTGAGGTGTCGAAGAAAAGAGTTCCCTTGAAATGAGGTGATTTGGAGTGTCCAAACACCAACGCACTTGGTTGCCTTTGTGTTTTATCAGTAGCTTCTTGTTACTAGTAGTAATGCACTTTTTACTAGGTGCGATGCCCTTTGCTCCTAGTAGCATCCTTTGTTCCGTTCGTAGCAAGGCCAGGAGCCCCGTTCGTAGCGTCCGATCGCTCCGTTCGTAGCCACGAACGTGGCCCCTCTCTTTTCGCTCGCAGCTGGCGGCACCGGCTGCGACGACGTCGCCTTCGCCGGGCGCCTCGGCGCCGCGACATGCCTCGGTCGCGACAGCCGAAGCAAGTGGTGAGATCTACGAAGGCGTGAAGAACCCAAGAGGAGAAACATGAAGTTATTTTTTGGTTTATCTATTTTTGTGATGGATCTGCAAGGAAGTAACTTTGTTATGTGTTGTTTGTACCACGCTTTTCTATGCGACCCTCCGGCAGACCCTGTTTGAGGCGATCCTGTCTTGGCCATTCGGCTTTGGCTCGCTCCTGAAAGCAGTATAGCTTTTGTAACATGCCGGTGCACAAGACCCTTGGCCAAATTGACCACGGTTTCCGATGTCCTCCTCAAAGCCTTGTTCCAAAGAAAATGCAGCACTCCTCTTTCTAAAGGTTTGGAGACGGCACTCCTTCTGCACCCATATTTGCGCTACTAGGGTGGAGGCCATCGCTCTTAGATTGGAGGCCATTACTAGTAACAAGGAGCGAACAAGAAGCTACGATCGGGGCTCCTGGCATCGCTACAATGCATTCTTACTACGTCGTCGGGCCGGAGGCCGCCCGTTGGCGCGAACGCACCAGGCAGGATGCGTGCACGGCACCCGGGAACCGGAACCGTGCACGACTTCTAGCTACTAGTAAGGCACCTCGCTACTAATGACAAGTGCATCACTAGTAGTACTGCCCTCGTGGCTAGTAGCGATGCCCTTCTTCCTAATAGTTTCTAGCTACTAGGAAAGATGGGAGTTTCGTCTAAACGGCGACCACCAGGCCGCCGGTTCCAAGCCTGGTTTCCCGGGTTCCACCGCAGAACTCCGCTGGACGTTTGTGCCGAACTCGTTGCATAGGCTATGCCTGGCACCTGACAACAAAGATGCACCTGGCGAGACGCCGAACTCGTCTCAAGTATAGACTAGTAGCGTCCGATCGCTCCGTTCATAGTAAGGCCAGGAGCCCCGATCGTAGCGTCCTTGTCAAGTAGATCAGAGTGATCACTAGAATTTCACTCAGCCAATTCAGCATAAAGAGATGATGGGAGATAGACCTGTAGAACTGGACTCAAAAAAGATTCAAGCCATCAACTTGGATGGAACAGACCTTCTTTTGGGACATCAAGGGCATTTCAACTGAGACTGTCGTCCAAAATGCCGCAGCTACTCGTAGGTGTTGAATCGTTTGTTTTCTGCAGTGCGTGCTTTTGCGCCCTCCCGGAGGTGCGCCGCGTCGGCCGGAGGCGGAAGGGCTCACTCCGGAGGCGATGGACACAGGCGATGGAAGGTCCGAGAAGAGCGAAATCCGAAGAATCAATTCTAATTAAAGAACTAAACAAAACGAAATGAAAGAACAAACCAATATAAATCTGTGTGTTTTTGCTATTGATTTTTCTAATTACTTAGTAGTAAGGCCAGGAGCCCCTTACTCGTAGCGTCGGATTGCTCCTAGTAGTTTGGATCCGATCCTTTTCGCAAGCCAAGATGTTTAGCCTCGCAAGGTACAACCTGAGAGGGTCTGCAGGGCCTTGCCAAGATTGGCCTCTGATCAATAACCTGGGTGTTTGGGATTGGGTGGAGCCATTTGGTTCAGAGGCAACTCCAGGGCTGATCATGGACAAAGATCAAGATCGCGGAAGCTAGCAGCTAGCATCGCCAAGATGGTCAAAGATTCATTCTGATGTCGAAAACCATTTAGACATACATATAGTGGTGTGACTTGGTTGTTTTGATTCAGGTTAAATGCAGAGCACGTCTCTCTTCGGCGAGTTGCACCAACACACCCCCCTGCGATTGGATTCCAACCTAGGATTCCAACACCCATTCTTTTAATGGCCTTTACCAGACAACCATTGTTTTACTAAGGATCTTAACCAAATTTAATGATGGTTTTGGCAGGGTAGGGTATAAAACATAATCAAACGTATATATATTCTTGGGCCCCAGCCTTCATGGTTGGCTGAGCGTCCGTTTTTTTGAAGTGGGTCAACTAGCGGCTGGGGCTGGGAAGCCGACATACCGGAAAGAATTCAGTTTTCGGCGATAGCAATGGCCTCCAACCTGCTAGCAGTGGCCTCCACCCTAGTAGCGATGGCCCTCCAACCTGCTAGCGATGTCAAAGCCGTCGATGCTTTGACTTTGGCCGTCGTACTTTGTTGACTGATCAGTTTTCGTTTGTTTCAGAGGAACCTCGATTTGTTTCCGTTTGTCCGGCTCCTCGATTTGAACTTAGAACTTTTTAAGGAGACGGGAAAGAACCTACGTAGAGCAGGGAGCCACGGTCAAGAACCATCACAAAACTTGCTGCCGTTTCGGTTTCCTCAGCTGAAAAACAAGAGTTCGAGAGTCGTTCGGAAGTTTCAAAAGAAACGACTGACTGATGACGGTTGGATGACTGATGCAACCACTGTGAGTCGTTACCTCGAGTTACGCTTTGATCAGTGATGGAAGGATGGCATTGTGTCAACCTCATCTGTTTATTTTCTTGTTTCCCTTGAGGTCAACAATTGAGATTCTTGACAGATCTCTTGACAGATAAACCCACTCATCAAAATCCACTAGGATATAGGATATGTGGCTCTCCAACCCTTCAAACCCTTCAAATCTACTTGGTCCAAACAAAGATCGAAACCCAAACCCTGACCCGTCCTGACCAGCATCCTTTTGGGCCTTTGCCGTCGCTCCGCGCGGCGATGTGGGCTCCCTTCCAACGCGCGTGAAGCGCGGTCGTTGAAGGGCTGATGGTGCCTTGATGGCCAGTTCGGTGAGGAGGAGGAACTGGCGTGATGGCCTCCACCTTCGGTCGTAGCTTCGAGCGAAAAACCGCCCTCATAGCTCGTACGTAGCTTCTTGTTACTAGCGATGGCCTCCAACCTAATGGCATCTGGTGACTGGGGAGGAACTGAAAGATGTTCATGCTTTCTGGGGTTTAGGGTCACATTGTGGATTGAAGCGCAGTGATTTGCGTGGACAGGCATGACACGTTGTTGGTTCGTTTCTGTGTTCATGTCAGCTCTTTGGAAGCTTGCAAGTCGTGTTCAAGCTTCATAGCAGCAAAAGCAAGACCCCGAACGACAAAGCGCTGCTGTCCTTTGCAGGCAGGGCTGGATTGCCAGAGGGGTAACAAGCATCAGTCCCAAGCCGGCCGGAGACCAAAGCCGCGAGCCACCAGCCTAGGATGTCTTCCTTCTGATCTTCATTCTAGCCATCCTGGGCCTTTCCATTGCTGCTGGGCTCATGTTGAGCTCCTTTGACTTCGCAGGAACCATCATCTTTTAAAAATGGCAATGAGTCCCATCAAACGAAGAGGACGCTCGACAGTCAGGTGTGCTCTCCATGCCCAGATTGGTTCTTGGGAGCGTAGCATCACGCTGGGCCATCTTGTTGCCCCATGTTGCCCCCACGTGATCTTCATCACAGGCACACAGACGACTTCAAGTCGTGCGCTGGAAAACGGCAGATCTTTTGCCTCGTGTCCAATGGCGATTGATGCCGCACCAGGAAATCCAAACAACCAGAAACAAAGAAATGGTTGCTCCATCGTATATGACATTGAGATACATTGAGATCCTTTACATAGGAAGTGGCTGGGTCTGGGGAAACATCCAGAACGGTTTCTGGTTGAGACTGGGCAAAACCAACCCCTGAGGTCACCAATACACGACTGCTGATTTACTACCAGCAGCCAGAGGACCTGCATGTGGGGCCACCGCGGGCTCTTTAGTGAAGCCGGAGGTCCTTGTGACTGGTGAAGCCCGGGTCCACCTTTTTTGTTTTTCCGGTGGACACCAAGGGGTTGTTTGACACCAGCATCCATTTCGCGGGAAATTCTGCCGATTCCCAGTGTGTTTTGATGTTCTCCAAGAACATCCTTCTCCAGTGGGAAGAAGCAGACAGGCGACACCACACCGACACCTTTGAGGCCCGAGTCACTGGGCCTCAAAGAGACGAAGACAGAGAAATGAAAGCCCGGGACTGAAATGGTCCTCTCTCAAAAGCTCCCGCAAAAAAGACCTGCGATGACCCCCTGCGACGACCCCCTTTTTTTTCATGTTGCTAATAGCAATGGCCTCCGACCTAATAGCAAACAACATGTGCCGTTTTGGTGCAGAGACAGAGACCCGATCCGCGTCGCCTTCGGTTTCCCAACGCGAGGATGCGGGGCTGAACAGCATCCTTTGCAAGGCACCAACCTTGTGAGCCAAGAAAGATGTGTCGAGCAGCGACGCAGCAACGCGTTGTGTGTGTTTTTGCTGAGAGGTGTGTCCGGTGTGTCCAAAGAATTGGCAGACAAACCAACGTTGCTTTTGGATGAGTCGCGCTGTGGCAAACAGTTCAATCCGATTCCGCCCGGAATCATTCGTTGTTTGAAGCTCTTTTGAAGTCTCCCTTGCCCACTGCGCCACTTCCAGAGGTGATCATCGTGAGTAGTCTCACCTTGGCCTGGATGCTGAACTTGCTCCTTCCCATCGACGTCCGCAACTCCAGGTCGAGCTGCGCCGCGTCGCGCCGCGAGCTGTCCCGGTGAACCAACCGGGGGGATCCGGTCACCCGGTCGCCTTTTTCGCTTTGGTGCATTCCTTTTTCGTGCCATTCACCCGCCTGGCATCGTTCAGGGTGCGTCTTTCGTATGCCCATCCCATGTTGTGCTCCGCTTATTGAGAGCTCCTGCACCACCACCGCCACAAAAAAACACATGGACCATGCATGTTGGACGAATGGTGTACTCTTAGGTCCCAAGGTCCAAACTACTAGTAGCTTTTTGTTACTAGTAAGAATGCTAGTAGCGATGCCAGGAGCCCCTAGTAGCGTCCTTGCTCCCAGTAGTAAGGCCAGGAGCCCCGATCGTAGCTTCTTGTTCCTGATAGCGTCTTGTTAATATAGTAGTAATGGCCTCCAACCTGATAGCGATGGCCTCCACCTAAGAGCTTCTTGCTTCTTTGCATATCGCCTTCAAAGGATGTCCCGGGCCTTTACGCGTTTCGCACCGATGCATTGAGACACCAGGGGTGTCGACTGGCGATGACTGGCGTCTAGATCGTAGTGGCGAACGCCACGGCAGAAATGGATCGAAACGGATCGAAATGGACGTCATCGCACCAGAAGAACACCCTTTGCAAGCACACCGCGTTGGCCTCGCGGATTGGAATCGCCCCAAAACGCTCGTCTCAGTGGCCCCGGACGGATGAGTCCTTGGGTCCGCCCGCTTGGTGGAAAACAAGCGGACGGGAGGGGCCTCTGTGGAAGCTGGAGGAATACCCAGTCTCCCCAAGCACAGCATTGGACTGACAGTACAGAAAAAATCCACGAAGCTGATTTATTCAACGATGGAAAACGATGTTCCTCCAAAGTACCCTCATGGTTTTTCCACGATGTTCCTCTACAAAGCCCACGTACACCAACGGTTGAAAACCACCGGTTCCTGCGGACTGAGAGACCTCCACAGGTCGAGAAGGGTTTTTGGGAGCCGAGCCGAGCTCGAGAGGTTGAGCGACCTGATAGGACCCTGTAGTGAGTCCTGTATGGGATGGACGACCTTAGGGCTGTTCAACCTCTCTTGGAAGCACCAAAATCGATTGGTTCGATGGCCATTCAAAGCTCTTTATGCCGACAGTCAAGACTGTCTTTGAGGGACTGTCTCATGATTTCTTCTGGCATCCGCTCAGGCATGCTCCTAGAGTTAGAGTTGCCTTTGCCAGGCCGACGACTGGCTTCCTAGACATGCAAGCTTTGTGGCCAGCAGCCCAGCCGACCTACACCAGTCGGTACACTCACCATAGCACGAAAAGATTCTCTTTTGCAGCTCGCTTTGGTGTGTGTGTGTGTGTCAAACCGCACCACCTAGAGCCTAGACATGACCCCTCTTTTGATAGGAAGTTGGACCATATGTCGGCGTCACCTGTGTTTGTTTGCATCTTCATGCTCTGTCTCCGAGGTCCGCAGCCTTCATCACCTTGGCGGTGTTCATTGCCCCCCCGGCCGATGGCATCGGAGAATCCCGGGCATCGCTGGGCGGACGAGGGCGGACAAGGCCTGGAACGAGGACGGTTTCGGGAGATCCTGCTTCGGCCTTTTGGATGAGAAGTAAAGGCCGAAACCCCTGAAAGGTCAGGATTTGAGGATATCTTTCCAGTGTAGAGATGGAAACAGGTGACATGTTTTTCAACCCAAACTGTGACGGCAACCAACAGGATTTCATGCTTGCCTGCTCAAATAGGCCTTTTGCTGCAAGCACAACGATTTGCAGCGGCCGTACGAAGAGCGCGGAGTAGGCGTGACAGTCATCTTGAGCAGTCCGTGCTGGCCACACAAACTGAAGCGGGCTCAGTATCCGGAAGATCATTTGTAGATCCAAACTAGAAGTGACCCGCTCTTCGAGATTCGAACTTGATTCATTTGCCCCATCACACCTTTCAAACTCTGACCTTAGATGTCCAGAGTCAGGACTTGTGACTCGATCAACTCTGACTCTGAGCCAACTCTGAACTCAATCTTGTCAGTCTCCCCTCAGAATGCATTGCAGTCGCCGAGACGGCGAACTCGGCGAAGCTCGCTGCTCGCTGATTTGAAGACTCTTTGTATCAACGAGCACCCGAACTGCAACTGACCACGCACCACGTGGCCCCCGAAGTGCACCACCACCATGTGGCAGTTACGGAGCCTAGCAACGTAACTGCTGCATTTGGTAAGAAACAGA